CGGGCTCTGGGCGCTGTGCTCATGAGCTCAAGTGAGAAACACCCCCCCAGTTGGACGGGGTTCGCTTGGGGCCGTCTCTGCTGTTTGGCTCCATTTGAGGAGGGGACTGCGCCTGCGCTGGGCTTTTCCCGTCACAGTGGTGGGTGCGGAAGGTTCTTGGGTGCGGTCGCCGTGCTCGAGGCACGGCCACGACTTGTTGATCTCGGGGGGCATAAAAAGAAACCTCTTTACAACCATTTCTTGGGCTCCCCCGCAGTGTGATTGGGCTCCCGGCGAACTAATGGGGCTGAGTCTCTTTGTGCCATTTTGCTGTCTCCTGGGAGAGCTGGCTTAGTCAAGAGTAGAGCCTTTTTTTCTTTATCTTTTTTCTTGATTTTCCCCTTCTTTTTTACAAAGACAAGCGTGTGTATTGTCAGCGTCCACAGGAGGCCTCTCTCTGGATTCAGCATCTCCAGGTAGCCTGATGGTCTGTGCTCTTTATGCAGGAACCTTTTCAAAGTGTAAACAAGAGAACTGTCCTGGGTAGCTCATTTTTTTCCCCCCCACCTCCTGCTATTAGTCGTAGATAAGTGCTTAGTAAAGACATTACGACCTGTTCCTGTGCTGAAAGAAACCAAGTGACCTTTCTCCAGCTTCCTCCTTCCTTTTTTGTTCAGCTTCCTATTTGCTTTGTTTCCCCATTCCCTGCCTCCCTCTCAGCGGCGGCTGGGTGTCGGCAGCAGTCAGGTGAGTCAGGGAAGTGGAGAGAGGAGAGAGCCCTTCAGGTTTGGTTTGGAATCTCTTAGAATAAGAGTGAAAAAGGGAGGAGAGTTAGAGAAAGGAATCATTCTTAGTTTGGAAAAAAAAATAATCAAGGAATTGTTACCTATTTGGCATATTTAGCATTATATGAGGTGAGTAAAGTGAATTTTGTGGTCTAATTGTCTGTTAAAGCTCTTCAGCCCGACTCCAGGACTCTCTGTCACGACTTCAGAGAATCTTTAAATCCTGTAAAATCTTTAAATTCCTGTAGAAACCCTGAGGAGGAACTGTGATTAGAAGGTACTCGCTTGGCTTGGTTTACTCAGTAAAGCTGACGTCCAGCATCTGCTCGTGCTGTGGCTTACGGCACAGTGTCTGTGTGTGTGTGTATCCAAAGCAGCTCTGGTCAGCTCGTGTTGGGTGGAGAAGCCTCGCAGGCCAGCTACAGCGAGTGGCAGAGATGGGGATTCAGAGCCAGGCTGGCCAGAAACGTTCTGTCGCTTCGTGGGACGGATGTGACCTGCCTTGGCCCTTCACTTCTGCACCTGTAGACACTTATTCTTTTGCCCCCAGGAGCACTGAGAGGAGTGTTCAGTGCACGGGAGGGTTTACAGGGCGGCAGGTTCTTGTTTGCCCCCTTGCACTAGCCCTGCTGTAACCTCCTGTGGTTCCTGTGGAAGCAGCAGGAGGATTTTCCCGTTAGGAGCAAAAAAAAAGGATATCGCCAAGGTAAATAGTTCGGCATGATTCAAGGAAGAGCTGCACACAGCTCAGGGTAAGACCAGTCCAGCTGCTTCGTGTAGGCCAGGATGAAATGTCAGGGGCTGTTCTGCAAAAAAAAGAGATGAATATCCCAGCCGATGGGAACAGCTTGGGCTGGCTGCTCTGGGGATGACGGCTGCGCCAGGAGGCTCGGTCGGCGCGGCCTGCGTTGTCCTGCATCCCTCGTGGAGGAGTCCGCTCTCCCATCCTGAATCTCGGGAATTGAATGCCTTCTTCCGTTCCTCTGCAGGGTCCAAGATTCAACAGCTGCTGCTTCTGCCCCCAACGCTGCTTCTGCCCCCACTGCGACCCCTTCTTCTCCTGCTGCCCCATCTCAGCCTTCCACATCCAGCAGCGCCGCTTCC